ATTAACTAAGACTAGACTGAATAGACCGAACAGGTAAATCCCCTTGACGATAGACTTTAGATTTGAGGGAGATTAGATATCACGACAACTGTTCTCTGGTCGAAGGATTCCTACTGAATTAAATTCATCTATATATTTAGGAGAGGTGACTCGACCGTGAATTATTTATTCAATCTTACGAAGGTTATATAAAAGTGAAAGCGAAAGCAACCAAACAGGTGTTGATGTTTTACCTTCAAATGTTGTGTTAACTTTGGCATTTTAGTATTCAAAACATCACATATGTTTTGTTTATATATTTTGTCTTACCTATACATTACTCTTGTAGGATGACGTCCCACCAATTTTTATAGGCGATGATGACTACGACCTAGATGATGATTACGAAAACTACTTCGATGTGGAAAATTTCGGTGATGAGTAAGTTCTAGTTGCTTTCGAGTCTTTGTCATTATTTTGTGTGCAGCCACTCTCACTTTTCAGTTATAAGTGAGATAAATAAAATCTAAAAAACAACATCGTACCGAAGATTCAATTTATGAAAAACAACGTCTGGATAGTTAGAATTAAACATTAATTTGATGTCAATGAGCATAGTTGGGACCGGGAGTGATATTCTGAAACTTTTAGGTTTAATTTCATCAAAATACTTCCCCCTTAAGCGTTATTTTCAGAGTTAAATGTCAGATTTATCAAGAAAACACCCAAGTAAGTCTAGAAGTCGGTCTGTATCTCGTGTTACTCTAAGAGACCTCTTATTTAAACTCAGCACTTCATGTTTTCACAATTCGAGAGGAAATAGCTACTTCGATTACTACAGTTAGCTAAAAAAAAGATCTAAACAGTGCAATAATTCCATCCATTCTTTGTTCTGGCTTCTTTGATTATCAGCTGGCTGTGACTTCTGATAGTGACCAACGTGACTTTCATTATTTTGTAAATTCAGTAAAATGGTTTTACAAGAATTAGTTTGTCGTAAAATCTTCAGTTGCCGGGTTACAGGTGTAAACCCAATCTATGTGTTCTGATGTAAATAGTATTCTGACACGAACTGCGTAAATTTATGGAAAGCAGATTAAACTGGTCTTAACTAAGTTGTTGTTTACAGATCTAAGGCTAATGCATTCTTTGTCAGCATTGAATCAGGCTATCAATCTATGGAAGTTGTCTCTGATGTTTAGATTATTGTGCCATCCTTTTCTGTTTTTTTTCTCACAATCGAAGCATGAATTCCCCATCGATTCAGTTCAGTAAATTTCCAGAGGAAGTTTTATCGTCGGCAAATTCATTTCAAAGTGTTGGTAGTCATTTAAGCAACAACTCTTCTTATTGGTCGATGACAGTTCAAGTTCCGACCGATGTGCTAGAGGAAATAGATAAACTGGCTGATTATGCTTTAGGTGAGTATTCATCAGGTGACTCACAAATGCATCCTAATGACAATGATATCAATCCAGGCATACAAGCTTACGCTAGATGTCTAGTATACATGCAAAAGGTACGAATTTTTATTCGATTGTTACAGTTGTTCGTTAATTGAATTTCCAGTTTTCTTACTGATTGGTATTCCACAAACATGCATGTGCAGTGGAACTGATTGTAATAACTATACTGTATTCATTATTTTGTTCATATGTCTATCAAAATGGATAATAACGTCTGGATTTTAGTGGTGTTGCATTCTGTGAGCTGTGGTTTAATTTGGAAGATTTTGTGATCACTCTGAATGACATCATATGCACCTGCCTCAAATGCACATCGATGTTTCTAAAATTATATCCCCAGGGCTTAGAGAACGTAACACCACAAAATGCATCAACCTAAGCTGCAGTTTTTCTCTGTCAGTGTTTTTATTTGTTGAAATTATTTCTCAAAAGTTGTATTTAGAGTTGAAGATAGTTGGTAAGATGCCTTAAAGTTGAGCTTCTAGTTGATTCGTATCTCTTTAAAAAAGGGTATTCGCAACTTTGAGAGAAATAGTACTCTATAAGAGACCGAAAATAGCATCAGAGATACCTCTAATATGACGTTTTAATACTTGCTGTGAGTAAAATCTAAAAGTAATGGTCGTTAGATCTTTGTTGGGTGATTTGCTGTAATTCTGGATTGGAAACTGATAACGAGTTTGCCTGTATATAACGCTCGAACAAAAAGTACTTACTTACTTACTTACGCCTGTTACTCCTAATGGAGCATAGGCCGCCGACCAGCACTCTCCAACCCACTCTGTCCTGGGCCTTCTTTTCTAATTCCATCCAATTCTTGTTCATTTTTCTCATGTCTATCTCCATTTCCCGACGTAATGTGTTCTTTGGTCTTCCTCTTTTCCTTTGGCCCTGAGAATTCCATGTGGGGGCTTGTCGTGTGACGCAGTTGGGTGCTTTCTTCAATGTGTGTCCTATCCACTTCCAGTACTTCTTCCTAATTTCTTCCTCCGCTGGGATCTGGTTTATTCTTTCCCACAGTTGGTTGTTGCTAATATTGTCCGCCCAATGGATCCGAAGTATTTTGCGTAGACAACTGTTAATAAACACTTGTATCTTCTGGATGATGGCTTTCGTAGTTCTCCAGGTTTCTGCCCCATACAGTAGAACTGTCTTGACATTTGTATTGAAAATCCTGACCTTGGTGTTGGTTGACAGTTGCTTTGAGTTCCAGATGTTCCTCAATTGTAAATATGCTGCTCTTGCTTTGCCGATCCGCGCCTTCACATCTGCATCAGATCCACCGTGTTCATCAATGATGCTGTCCATATATGTAAAGGTTCTTACATCTTCCAAATCTTCTCCGTCAATTGTGATTGGAGTGGTGCATGGTGTGTTGTAACGGAGAATCTTGCTTTTCCCTTTGTGTATATTGAGACCTACTGCTGCTGAGGCTGCTACTACACTTGTCATCTCCTACATTTGTTGTTGCGTTTGCGATAGAAGAGCCGGATCATCTGCAAAGTTTAGATCGTCCAGCTGCATTCTACCTGTCCACTGTATCTCGTGCTTCCCCTCAGATGTTGACGTCTTGATGATCCAGTCGACCACCAGAAGAACGAGAAAGGGTGAGAGTAAGCAACCTTGCCTAACACCGGTCTTTACCTCGAACGAGTTTGTCAATTGTTACCCATACACAATTTTGCAGTTTAATCCATCATAGGAATTCCGTATGATATTGACTATCTTCTGAGGCACGCCGTAGTATCGAAGAAGCTTCCATAGTATTTTCCTATCCATGCTATCAAATGCTTTCTCGTAGTCAATGAAGTTGATGTAGAGTGATGAATTCCATTCAATTGATTGTTCCACAATGATCCGTATAGTTGCGATTTGGTCTGTACACGATCTATCCTTACGGAATTCTGCCTGTTGGTCTCGAAGTTGGGCGTCTACGGAGTCCTTCATCCTGTTTAACAATACCCTGTTGAAGACTTCTCCCGGTATTGAGAGAAGAGTGATGCCCCTGTAGTTATCACACTTGCTGAGATCGCCTTTCTTCGGTATTTTGACCAGAAGTCCTTCTTTCCAGTCTGTTGGTACTTGTTCCTCATCCCAAATCTTATTGAAGAGAATGTGGAGTATCCTTGCAGTTGCCGCTACGTCGCTTTTAGTGCCTCTGCTGGAATGTTGTCTGGTCCTGCTGCTTTGCCACTCTTGATTTGTCTGATGGCCATGCTGATTTCTTCAATTGTTGGTGGGCCAACATTGTTTGGGAGGTCCGTGGGTGCTGCTTCGATATTGGGTGGGTTCAGTGGAGCTGGTCGATTCAAGAGTTCTTTGAAGTGTTCTACCCACCTGTTTTGTTGCTCTTCAATGTTGGTGATTACCTTGCCGTCCTTGCTTTTCACAGGTCGCTCCGGTTTACGGTGATTTCCAGAGAGTTTCTTTGTCGTGTCATACAGTTGTCTCATGTTCCCTTCTCTTGCAGCCTTTTCCGCCGTCGTTGCTAAATCTTCCACATATTTACGTTTGTCAGTTCTGATGCTCCTTTTCACTTGTTTGTTTACTTCTGTGTATTCAGCTTGTGCCTTGGCTTTTTCTGCTCTTGTTCGACTGGTATTGATTGCTGCCTTCTTGTTCCTTCTTTCTTGAATCTTATCCAGTGTATCAACAGTGATCCATTCCTTGTGATGGTGCTTCTTGTGACCCAGGACCTCATGACATGTTGAAGTGATTGCCTCTTTGATCCCCTTCCAGTTGCTCTCCATAGTAGTTCCTTCTCCATTGAGTAGATCATGAAAGGCCTGGAACTTATTGCCGAGGACTATCTTGAATTTGTTGAGTTTGTCAGTATCCCGAAGAAAAGCCGTATTGAACATTTGTGATATTGTCCGCCCCGTTGTTCGGTGCTTCTTAAGTTTCAATTTCATCTTCGCGACCAGTAAGTGATGATCTGATGCTATATCAGCTCCTCTCTTGGTTTTGACGTCCTCCATCGTCCTACTGAACTTTTTGTTGATGCAGATATGGTCGATTTGGTTTTGCGTGGTGTGATCCGGTGAAGTCCATGTGCTTTTGTGAATGCGCTTATGTGGGAATATGGTGCCGCCTATGACCAGTTTATTGAAGGCACATAGGTTTGCAAATCTCACCATTTTCGTTCCTTTCTCCCACTCCGTGTCGTCCCATGATGTCTTCACATCCAGTGTTGTCCGTTCCAACCTTGACATTGAAGTTTCCCATCAGAATGGTCAGGTCCTTTGTTGGGCACTTCTCGATGATCGACTGCAGCTTATTGTAGAATTGATCCAGTCCAGTGCTTCCAGGTTTCCAACGGTGGTCTAACACCAATTGATTCATGATCTCAACCAAAAATTTCAAATAAGTTGAGTGTTATGACCTTGGGTGTCTGGTTTTTCTATCACACGATTTATCTACCAATCGAATACGACTTATACGAATCTTCACACTAGGCCAACCAATGACGTTCAACCGGTGTGGGCAGTTTAGCGTCCTTATTGGTCCTATGTCCTACGAGCCCTTCCACTTGAGTACAGAACACAATACCAGCGTCCGAATCAGAGCAGATCATTTATTTCAGACATACTTGGTTTATATATCAACCACACAGACCGCAACGTACCATAAAATAGGAAATAATATTTGTACACAAATAAGCCAAAAAGTGGCTGTGAATGTGGGAGGCATTAGTTAATAAACTGAACATAACTTAAGAAGCGTAAATCGTACAATAATAAATTATAGGTCAAAATAAAGCTTATCATAAAAGGAATATAAATATACATAATGTAATTGTTGAGTAGTTACACAATAGGAATATTTATAGAATATTAGTCCATGAATAGTCCTTGGAAATTACCTGTAATTTAATATTCACTAGGATATAACACCTCCCCCTTTTTTTTGAAAAAAAGTATGTGTAACTTTAAATTCTCCAACATTCTCCTCCTCCGCGAAATAATAATGTCGGATCCTTATGTCTCCGAATTACAAATAATAGGACTTTGTTTAAACCATGTTTCTCGTATTGAATGGAGAATCCACTAAAAATGACTAGACGATAATGAACGACTTTTGATTTGAGGCCATTATTTTCAAATTCATTATGAATCTCATTAGTAGATAATGAGTCATTAAGAAAGTCAACGTCTAACAAAATTAAATTAGATTTTGACCATCATTTGAAACAGCCGACATATTTTCTTCATTTTTATAAGAAATCTGATCAAAATTCTGTGAATTATTATAAGAACCCATATCTAGTACATTGTCATGAGAAATTATATAATCCAGTTCAATATAAATTTCTGTCTCCCAATTATTTTGAGTAACATTTGGTACAATTGGGTTCATCGTGTTGCTCCAGTTATTTTCTGAATATGAGTCACCATAGCTTTCTCGACTAAAATCACGTGGACCACGATTTTGTTCGAGCTGACGTTTATTTTCAGAGCTAGACAGGACCAGTAGTGTTTCATTTAATTCTGTTGAAAAATCTGCACAAAGGCGAATAGCTCCGCTCGCTTTCTGAACTACTACAATTGGTGCTGCCCATGCCGAATAATTAACAGGTTGTATAACACCGAGTTTCTCTAGTCGGTCTAATTCTTTGTCGACTTTGTCAATAGCTGCATATGGAACTTGACGCTTTGGACGGAAAACAGGTTTTACATCCTGTCGTAGGTATAATTTTGCCTTCTCAATTGTGCAGCATCCCAATTTATTCTGGAACAAGTTTTTATGTTTCTGCAAAAGATCTTCTATCGTTACGACTTTTTTAGTTACATGAACTGTGGGTGGATCTTTAGGATTACTTGCGCTTTTCATTGTGCATATTTCATTTAATGGTACATCCCATAAATTTAGTTTATCTATCCAGTCTATACCAATAAGGTCTAACTCATGTCTGTTCGTTAAGTAGCAATTTCCTGTAAAGTAATTACCTCGGAATTTAACAGAGCATTTTATCATTCCCACAAGTTTCAATATATCTCCGGACGCATTCCGTGCAGTGTGCTCTGTTGGTAATACTTTCGGACACCCAATTAAATACCACGTTCGTTTCGAGATTAGTGTGATATCTGACGCCGTGTCCAGTTGCAATCGAATATGAACACCATTAACAATTAATTCCACATATCTTCTTTTATCCGCTACGCTTAGAGCCAGTGTAGAATATACGCTGTTTATATACTTATTTTCGTACTGGTGCGGACGTCTGGTTCGTTTTGATCTTAAACTTTCTCTAGTTCGGCAGACTAATTCTTTGTGGCCAACTTTATTGCATATAGTGCATCTATGATTTCTAAACCGGCAAAATCTTGAGAAATGCCATGCACCACAATACCAACATTTAGTTGCAGGTTTAGGGCTTTTCGAGTGATATTTATGACTTTTGGTACTATTTCGTCTTTGACCTATCTTAACAGCATGAACAGAATTCGATGGAGCAGCACTTTTGGTTTCCAGCATAGCTGTATCTTGTTTTAAATTTATTAATCGTTGACATTCAGTGGTGATAGTTTGTAACGTCATTTCATCATCATGTTCCATACGGGATAACAACTTCATGCGAAAGTCGGCATCAACAGGAGAGTTCAGACCAGAAATAAATAATAAGCATTTAAATTGATCACTGGTTAATACATTTAATTTAAATCGTTCTGCTTGTAAATTTACTCTTCCGGCGTACGTAGTATAATCTTCATCAGCCCTTTAGTCAGCTGTAGACAGTTATACCGGATACGGAATAAAGACGACTGTTCACAAAACATTTTATTTAGGATGTTAACAGTTTCATCGAAACTAACTTCTCGCGGATGTTTAGGCAGAATATGGTTTTTATACTTTTGATGCTCATTAGGACCAAGTTTCTGTAATAGCAGCCGAACTTTCTTTGCATCATCTATAGCAGCAAATCCAACTCGAAAAATATCTTCAATTCTGCCAAACCATGCTTCAAAAGTATGACCGTTGTCTGCATCAAATATAAATTCTGAAACTGGATTAAGGTATGACTCACTACTTTTATGTTCTGGAATCTCTTGTTGGATAGATAGTTTCCCCAAAAGTGTTTCCAAGAGTTTCTGTTGAGAAGCTAACATCTGCTGCTGCTGTTGTTGATATTGTTGCTGCTGTTGTTGTAATAATAACTGCAACTGTTCTAAGGAAATCGACATTTTTTTGCCAATAATATTAGCTCCAAAAATCACCGGCAATTATAACAGCTAATTTATTTCCAAAATCTGAGTCACCACTTGTATTTTTTTGCCAAAATCCCCGTCGCCAATTGTTATGACCTTGGGTGTCTGGTTTTTCTATCACACGATTTATCTACCAATCCGAATACGACTTATACGAATCTTCACACTAGGCCAACCAATGACGTTCAACCGGTGTGGGCAGTTTAGCGTCCTTATTGGTCCTATGTCCTACGAGCCCTTCCACTTGAGTACAGAACACAATACCAGCGTCCGAATCAGAGCAGATCATTTATTTCAGACATACTTGGTTTATATATCAACCACACAGACCGCAACGTACCATAAAATAGGAAATAATATTTGTACACAAATAAGCCAAAAAGTGGCTGTGAATGTGGGAGGCATTAGTTAATAAACTGAACATAACTTAAGAAGCGTAAATCGTACAATAATAAATTATAGGTCAAAATAAAGCTTATCATAAAAGGAATATAAATATACATAATGTAATTGTTGAGTAGTTACACAATAGGAATATTTATAGAATATTAGTCCATGAATAGTCCTTGGAAATTACCTGTAATTTAATATTCACTAGGATATAACATTGAGAACTGCGTAGAATGTTAATAATAAAGTAATGATATATTTGTAATATCTTAATGTGTAGAAATTAGTATTTCTGACGTTTTGTGATTTAGTGTAAGGCATTTTTTCAGAGTAAATCAATAACTGAATTAGATCAACATAAGTTTAAATAGCATAAAGGAACTCAGCGTAATTCAATCTTAATATTCAGTTCGCACCAAACGAATACCGAATTTTGAGATATTTTGGCAATTCTTCCTGGCATATTTTAACACTCAAACTAATGACAAGTATCGGTGATTTCGCCCAAGTTTTTCATCTATAACATTTTATAGGATTAAAACTGTCGATTGTGGTAACTCATATATAATTCTAATTGTAACAGATGTATGAATTTTCATGCAGCTACAGAGTATTAAATTTTTTTTCTTAATTTTTAAACATAATGTGAATGTACAATTGTATTATTCGTTCGAATTTTTGTTTCACATTTGTTATAGTATCGCTATTGCCCAGAATTCTTGTGGCGTTTAGCTCGTGCTACCTACATAGCCAGTGTAGAAGCGCCATTAGATGAAGCTGTGTCACAAAAGGATGATGCATCACACGGTCATCATACCTTAAATGATATTGCTTATAAAGTGCAAACTCGTCGACAGTTTATTGAGTCAGGAATAAAACATGCACGTCGAGCGTTAAGTCTCGCACAAAGAGCTCCTCCACCACCGCTGGATAACGATCCAACAAAACTAGCTCCAATATATAAATGGTTAGCTATTTTAGTTGGTGTCTATTCATCTTACCTCAGTGCTCAACAAAGAATACAGTATGGTTATGAATTTAAGGCAAGTTATCTAGATGTACTATACTTGCTTTTTTATTTAGCCCCATTCACATCATTTGACATTTTATATGGAAAGAAATCCATTGTTGATTACAAATAAATAACTAAGTGGATAAATAACAAAAAAATTAAGCGATCTCAACGATGTGCATAAATGCAGACATATATGATGTACGAGTTTATTTTTGCATCTGATTTTCGATCAATATGGGTCAATGCTACTGTGAATATGTAGGCCATCAATAGCGAATTAGTGGTCCAAGCGCTTGGATTGCATTTCCTGGGTCTTGTTTTTGAAACTTTATCCCACGTACATCACTTCTGGCAGCCAAGTAGTGCCAGTAGATCCTACAGTGGCTTAAATCCGAGTATGTAGACTTTTAAGTGATTAGTTACTTTAGCGAATTATTACTCACGTAGATTTTCTCATTTTCATACGATTAGGTTTATATCTATTGACAGCGGCTGTTACCAATGTGCAATTAGCAAATGTTTTTGTAAAAAGTGTACATTGTTCTGTCATACTTGCATACTATACTTAGGCAACCACTCTGTCATAGTTTTCTGATATATTCGTCCTCCAAAGTCTTAAATATATTAAAGGTCCAAGTGTCATCATGTGAGGAATAGTCTTTTAATATCGTGTAACCATAAGCAAGGAATATCATATTTTTATCTGGTTCATCTTTAGAATGTGCAATATATAAAGCCTTCTTTTCAACATATTGATAAGCATCAATATGAAAATCTTTCATGCAATGTGCCGTCACACTTCCCTTGGTTAGTGATAAGATAATTCGTTAGTCCTCAGTCACTAAGTGGTTGTGCAACTCAAGTCTGATTTCACAAGCATTAGAAGTTAACTTCGTGAATGAACATATACACCATGTATGGCAATTTGAATTAAATCTGTGTGCATACACGTTCAGTCTTACTTTTTTGGACCCAATCGTTAATAGTTTTATATACCGCACTTTATTGTATATTTCAACTGTTTTTTATAATTTGTTAAAGGAATTAATTGACACCGCAATCAAGCTTGACACTTCTGATGCCCTATCCTATTATCTACGAGGTCGTTGGTGTTATGAGGTATGTAACTTGCTGCCATTCAGGAAATTCTATTGCTCATAATAATTTAACTTCTTGAAAGCAGTTTTCTCACCATCCGTCGAGAAGGTACAAATATCTTATCGACAAAAACAGAATTTCAAACAAACCGATTTCCTCCCAAATTTTCCTTGTCACCCCTTTTGAACACTACCTATGTTGCATCTCAAACAACAAATTCTCAGTCCTTCTTTATGTTTGGCTACTCTACATGCAATAATATTTCTCGTTCGTTAGAAGTTTTTGATAATACTTCGTGTCTTTACAGCTCTTAAAAAAGCCACTTTAGTACCATAGATTAATGCAGAAGACTTATTCTTTCTCTAAAAAAAAACTAGATAATACACTTTATCTACAGAATGTTAGACACATGCAATCAGTCAGCTACAAGGTAGGACGTCCAACAGTATCGATGACACATTCTCCTAACTGTTCTTGTTTTCCATTTTAATCCTAGGTGTATAATGTTTCGTGGATCGAGCGCCAGATTGCATCTAGGTTATTTGGCAAGCCTCCGACATCTACCATTGAGGAAGCTGAGACAGCATTTGAAAAGGTAAGCACAGATTTAAAGAATTTAGTTCAGTATTTATTAGCGTTCAACTTCCGTCTAATTAAGTTATTTCATTTGTTTGATTGAACAGGCTGAAGAATTGCGCCCAAACCACTACGCTGCACTGTACCTGTATCAAGCTAAATGTTCTTTGTCTTACTTAGATTACAAAACAGCACTGTATAAATTAAACAAAGCTCGAGGCTTATTTGACCAACATAGATATCCTATACCACACACAGATATCGGTTCTGTACAACAAGAAGTAGATCAACTGTACGACAAGTACTCTGGATACCTATGAAATCATGTATATAGCGAAAAATATATATTACTTTAATTTATATTTTTCTCATTGTTTCCATCAACTTAAGTTGTATCTTATTCAAAACGGAAATTTTGTGATATATACATAGTGCGTGAAAAATTACATATGATCAAGATATTCGTTTATAAATTTTAGCTTTCTTGGCTTTCTTATCAGATACACCAAATGGTTTATAACGCTTTTGGCCTGGATTTTCTCGTGTTCTCTTTGATTTTACATTCAAATCCACCTTGGGAGTAATTGATAGTCCACATGTTCTTGCTGTTGCGGCCAAGTCTAGTTCATCTACATTGAAACAGCTTAGGCCAGACGAAGCATAAGCACGAACTATACCTTTGAAGGCTTCCTGAGCAGAAAGAGCAAGGAAATAGTTGTTTTTGACCAACTTCTCCAGAGCTGGTTGCACATCCGCCATCTTTGAATTGGCTATTTCATACTCTACAACCTTAACTCGAGCTTTTCTTAGGATTGATAGGAACTCTAATTCATGAGGCCTCAACACTAACAAAGCATTTCCCGTGCTGCCTGCTCGAGCTGTACGACCAACTCGATGTATATACTCTTTGGCGTCATCAGGTGGGTCATATTGTAAAATCCAGTCAACCTAATAAAAGTAATTGAGTAAATAATAATGTAACACGCATCAGAAAAATGAGACTATTACACTGAATATTCAAGAAGGCTTGAAGTAAAATACATCTTTTCTTTGAAGGATAAAGTGAGTGTGCAAAACACTAAGTAATTTACTAATCGTTTAATTGATTATGATACATGCATAAATCTATTTATAAGAAACGGAATAGGTCATAAGAACGCATTGTGAGAATACATTTGGAAATCTAGTCACGAGTCTGGCTCACGTAAATAAGCGTAGGGGTATCAACTCTTGACATTTTAACCAAATACGTTACTAGCTCTGGGTACTCAAGTAGTATTCAGAACCCCAAACCACACATGTAGGTCCAGCTAGCTGAATTTGATATATGAACTTTAGGGAAGCCCGTTAAGGCTGGGAAACTTTTGTCATTAATGAGTGTTGTATCTAAGACGCTCGTATTTCCTATTTGTGGAACCATACTACCAAGCCAATCAATATAGCGACTTTTAGATATCTGCGCAAACGGCAGAAAATAGTGACAGCTGGTGGAGACAAAGCTGTTATGCCATCGTACGAGAATAACGTGGTGTGGATGCAAAATTACACGAAGCACTTAGTGCTAGTGCAGATTCCGTCTGGAATCTCAATTGTTTTAACCAAAGTTCAAAGTAAATCTAGTTAAATAACGTCATTACTGACCCATAGGACGAAGGATATTATCATTTGTAAAGAACAGTTAAGGGCGTCAGGGATTTAACCTGGATGGTTTTCAGGAAGTTATGTCAGCATTGCAGAAAATGTTTATACATTATTAAAGACAACGAGAACACGGCCGCAAAAGTATTTATGACTCGATAAAAAATTCTAACTTGCCGACCCTACGAGCGAGCTTTTGTAGAAAAAGGATGGTCTGTGATATAAAAATCTATCATGAAGCGTGGTAAACTTATAAAGCTGTGTAAAAACGATATATCCACTTAGTTTTTAATAGCTGCTTTTGATTTTAGCTACTTGTATATTTATTAGCTGAGGTATCCAAAATTAAAGATAATTATCAGTGTCGCACAGGTTTAACAGTATGGTAAGTTTTCACCCATTATTCCAGCGAGGTACCGAGAATTCATCTGATATATTGGTAGTGAATGCATGTTTTCTATGCACTTATTAAAAGGGAACTACGATTTTGTTATCTCGGATTAAGGTCTAGGGTACAGTGCAGTTTTCTTAAGCATTTGCTTATGGGTTGTTCAAAACAAAAACCGGTGGAAAAAACTGTCTTTGCATCATTTTTAACCGCAACGGATTTCAGTTAATATACACTCGAAGATTAGTTTTACTTCTAAGTAAATGACCAATTGCGTTCAAAAGATATTATGAAGCTAGCTGGGGACTTGCACATCACAGTGATACGATGCTTGTTAATTAACCCATATTGATTGGAGAATGAGTAACAAATGAGCTAATTTCCTCCAATTGTCAATGACTACTATGTCTATTCATCTGGTTCGTAGTTTTGCCTTTGATTTCTGATCATTAGGGGGCTTAAAACAATAATAACGTCTCGTGAATAGCCATCATTCAGCTGCCTCACATCATTGGATTAACAGCCTACATACAGTTTGACAACCAAAAATCCGCTCATCTACTATAACGCACATTAAACGATGGAAACCAAGGTAACCAAAAGAAAAATATCAAGATACTAAGCATAAATAATATAGCTCGGAAAACTAATGAAATAAAGGAATCTTGGGCGAGACCATTGTTGAAATCCAATATTTACCAGTAGCTAAAAAAAGGGATATGACTGGCCACCTTAGATGGTGGATAGTAATAGCTTCATGGTCCAGTTTACTATTTCCATCTAGTAGCTGAAGTGTCGTTTATATGTTATTTACTCAGCTGTTTTACATACAGTGATATACATGAAATGTAACTTCAGCATATCTACGCATAGAGTGGCTGTGTAATGACCTTCACTTTGATGGACAGACGACCATTTTACTATCAGTACTTGTCGGTGAAATCCAACAAAATTTGAAATCTGTAGGGAAATTTTGTAAGCTACCAATCAAAGTCGGTGTAGAATTTATGACGGAGTGGTCAGAACGCTCAAATAGTTTGCCTTCTACACTCATACTAGATACTGACGCAACTTTCTTGAGCCAATATTTTACACTTTGAGAGGGATGCTTATAAACATTTTTACACTCCTACACAAATTGCTCAGATCTGCATTGTAAGCGTTATCCTCAAGCAGAAATATACAATATGCTTATTTCGTTTAGCCCAATACTTGGGGAAAATATTTCCATCTACAAAGAGCTCTGGCGGCAGGCACCTAGTGGATTTAGTCCATTCAAGTAACAGTATACCGCAAATCGCGATCACATTTCGAGTACTAGGTCTTCATTAGGTTGGTTAATTTAAGAAAAAAACTTTCTCATTGACAGATAGCCTCATGGGACCTTCGGTTTTGTATGGCTAGTCACTGCTAGACATTTTCGTAATACTGTTATTTCAACAAGAGAAGCAAACCAATCGAAAACCTACCTTTGGTATGTCTAAACCGCGCGCTCCGACGTCAGTACACAAAAGAACAGCAGACTCAGCTTTTACAAACTGAAGAAAGGTGCTTGTCCTTTTAGCTTGTTTTTGTCGTCCATGGATGGCTAGGACTGGAGTATCCACAAAGTTCAGCAACTCGTAGTAAAACTTGACTTCCATGCAGGAAGCCATGAAAACCATAATCTGAAACGTGTAGAAAAGTATGTGGGTTGTTGACTAGTGAGGTGACTGGGAGTGTGAAAATAATTTTCAACCTTAATGATATCATTGGTGCCAAACAAACGTTATATCTGTGAACATACTTGGCTGATTCGCAATTCTTGGTCACAATACCATATTGTTTATCACATGTTCAGTATTTAAACTCAAAATAAACTAGACGACATAAGATAGACTCGTCTTAAGGATTCAAGCGGAGATAATGGCTGGAACTCTCGATCGAAATCTGGGAGACACCATAATTTATGGACGAACCAATCAGACGAGTCTGAGATTTTGGTGCGGAACTTACCCATCCATTTGGCAAAACAGCGTTTTGGCATTATAGCTAGCGTTGGTTCGTGACGAAAACCAATAAATCAAATTACTAACCATCAACTGTTAATCATAATTCTAATTCCTCACACTTTTACAACCCTCTATTAATCCTAGTTAATAGGTGGACATCCTCAAGATCACTTTAGCGTCGCTCAAACGTCGTTTGAGACAGAAATATCGAGTTTCGTTAAAATAATGTCAGCTGCTCTTGGAATCCAGAGACAAGCATGCAGTCTTCAGGAACGCCAAGAAGTTAATTAAAACAATAGCCCAAGTAAATAATTTGATTAACTATGCTAGACTAGAACCTATGAATACTGTAGAATTCATAACAGTGAAAATATTGTGAAGAAACTTCCCCAGAAAAACCCATGTATCTAGTGTTTATCAGTGCGTCTCTACACTGAATGATGCCGTGTAAAACACAAACTTGACGAAGCGAAAGATACAAAGGAATGGTTAATCATATTAATGAATAGCAATATTTGGGTATTCTCGAAATTACCTTTTTACTTTTATTTTTCTTGAGAAATGTGTACAGTAGACAAAAACGCCTATCAGGAGGGCAGACAACGTACCCTTGTTCCAATCCCTCAACTGTTGCTTCATTATCAGGAGCTGATCCGACCATAACACAAGAAGCTTTAAGCGCAGCGTTGGCTAGGTTTCTCGTCTTTTCGTTCAAAGTAGCAGAAAACAGCATTGTTTGACGTACCGTCGGGAGAAGTTTTATAATTTGTCGCATTTCCACTTCGAAACCTATATCCAACAAACGATCAGCTTCATCGATTACAAGAGCTTTAAGATTATGACGGAGGAAGAACTTTGTGTTTGACAAATGATCTAGCAGTCTTCCCGGAGTTGCAACGAGAATTGTCACACCTTTTTCAAGATTCTGAGCTTCAGTTTGTCGGTTGCTACCACCCATAATGAGGCCAATTCGTAAATTCGTGAATTGAATGAGTTCCTAATTATAAAATACACTACACAAAACTTAAAATCTTACTCCCAACACACCATACGTCTGAAGACTAAGTTCACGAGTAGGTGAAATGATTATGGCACCAGTACCATTACGAGGTTGCAGACCCAAGTTTAGCATCAGTTCCACAACAGGTATTAAGAAAGCTAGTGTTTTACCACTCCCAGTTTTAGCACAGGCCATCAGATCCCTGTGCTCAAGCAGCTGTGGAATACATTTATCTTGGATATCGGTCATATGTGTGAAGCCCATTTCCTTGACAGCACGCTTAATTGGCTCTGATATAGGCAAATCTTCAAATTTTCCAGACAATGAGATACTCGTGCCAGGCTGTGACTCTTCTAAATTATCCAACGCGGCATCCCCACGATCGGTTTGTTCTTCAGTGCTTTTTTGTCGAATTTTCTTGAGTCGTTTCTTCAGCTTTTTCGTAGGCGAGAACTCCCTCATCATGCGACAATCGGAACAATTAGGCGCTTTATTACATAACCTTGAGATTTTCACTGCCAGTCACTGTTAAATATTCCAGATACAGTTCACAGTCGTGATGATTGCAAGTTAACCTTGGTACCTAATACTCTGAAATTTTTAGCACTATTAAAATCCAACCTCACCTTGAATAGACCACAGCAGATGCTGATGTTTCTTGGACTGATGAAGTTTATTAATTCACTCCTTGGTTTCGGAGGCGGAAATGGTTTGATACCAGTTTTCCAACTTCCTCAAAGTTACGTTTCAAGTGATCAGTCTCAATTGGAGGTAAAACACAAGACATAACAATCTCAAGATCATCGTTCAGCGTACGGTAAGACAGTATTAGATCACCCTGTAACTTTTGGTAATACATTGGATTTAGGTTGAGGCATCTCAGTCCGTCTTTATAAAACGAGTCAGAAAGGCCCTTCATTATCTTTTCACCTCACCTCTCAATGTGTCCTAACATATCCGTTTGATACTTGAAACAATGACGCTTATTTAGTAGACCAAAGACATCGAGTTCTTTAATGGTCACACTATCCAGTGTATGTGTGGGGGGATCTGTATGCACTGACGGGAAGGACGCTTCTATGGTATATACATTGCTAAAGTAGTTCGAGAACACTTGAGCCTTACCAAAGTCGTCCTCCACTAATGATGCGGCAGTGCTGTCTCCCCATAGAGCAGGAATATTTCCCTTTCTCTTTGTCCTTTGGTTTATATAGAAACACAAACGTCTGGGACATTCTATGGATTCCTTAACAATTTATTCTTCGTACAACTTTCTAGACCTACGGAGGGTCAAGGCACAGGTATTCCGAGCTTTTCGACACTGAGATTCGTCTCATCAGTCCCCAGTAACATAAATCTATCCCACATTTTCCTTCTCTTACGGAGAAGGATGCGGACCTCCCTACTGAACCATGGTAGGGAGCTTCTCATCCCCTTGGTGTAGTCCAAGGGATGTAGGGCATGGCAACTTTTAGTATGAATTTCTAAATGCGTCCCAGGTCGTTTCAATTGAGGACTCTGGGTCTATTGTCCAATCTACTAACGATGCTGAGTGCATGATATCTGGTATGTTTGCTTTCCAGACGTTAGTCTGGATTGGACTGACACGTGCTCATGACTGACAGTTATATGGAAGTCGAAAGTTAGAACTGCGTGATCACTTTTACCTAGGGGTCTCATATAATGGAGGTTCGCAACGTCATCCTCTCAGTGAGTCAGTATAAGATCTAGTAGAATGATTCTGTGTCAGCGTCGTACCTTGTCGCTTCTTTCACATGTTGCACTAGAGCACATGTGATAACCCCATCAACTAGTTCCTGCTCGAAGGAATTTTCTGACGATTCAGTTCGCAGATTTACTCAGTCTACCATTGGTGCATTAAAGTCCCTTAGGATTAGACATCGACCACTTTTTGACCAAGTATTGAGACTGCTTAACAGGATCTGATTTACCTCACATCTTAGACTGCGATAAACCAAACCAATCAGCAGCTCTTGTCCCTTGCATTTCAAGTGGCGACTAACTAATTCACGCGTCCCACTCTCATGCGATACAATGTCGATAATGGCAAATGGAATAGCATTCCTAATGAATAGAGCTACTCCCCTCCTTTACGCTTTTGTATTCTACCGGCCCTTAATAACGTAAAACCCTCGAGATCAAGTTCCATACTACCTATAGCCTGTGCCAGCCAGGTTTCTGTAACTGCGATTATGTCTGGCTTTGTAGAGTCAATCTGTATACCTAGTTCCGATCGCTTATTGAGCAAGCTTCGGGCATTAGTGTGACAGATCCGAAGCCTATTTAAGTGGCTCCGTGCTTTAACCAGAGTGGCTTCGGCATCATTCTCTGTCGAAGCCTCACAACCCGAAAATTTACAATTTTCAGGTCCTTTCGCCACCATCTAACCTAAGTTGTAGTTCTTTTTCGGCTTCCCGTCTTTTTACACGGTCTGCCAATGGTAAGTCCTTACGGATAAAAACTCCTGAACCTTTAATTTATGTCCATTCTGTAAAATTAGGTCGCGTTCGTTCGAAGATTTGAATATTAATTTAAGCAGTCTGGATTGATTTGGTTTCACGTTCGCTAGACTCCCTAGTCTGTACACCTTTAGCAAGGTGACCCCGGTGATATTTTGAGGCATGAGTTGATTAAGCAGCTGCTTAATCAGCACAATGTCATGCTCAAAACGAGCTTTTGGTTCAGAACTCTCGCTCCCCTTGATTCTATGAAAAATAGCTGATCTGTCGCTGTGACCAGCTTTCGATTTTTCGACTACTTTTACGGGGGCAGGATTCCCTTTTATATCGCTACGTTGTTTCTTGCTTACAACCTGTACCCATTCGTCAACGGTGCTAGGAGAGGCAACAACAGTTGCGTCAAACCTACTGTTGGGTCCCAGAGAGTTGTCAGCGACCTGGGAGGTCAGGTTATGTTTCCCGCTAGGAACCGATCGAGCCTTGCGATTGCGGCTTCTAGGTGTTTCCTACTGGGTGCCATTTGAGAGACGGGGAAGAGAAGAACCTTCTTTTCTTGAGTTTTTGTTTAAGACAGACCTCTTTGGAGACTGCTCTTCCTTCCTTGATCGGTGTGAGTCACCTATTTCCGAACTCACCTAAGCTTGCTTCATATCAATTTGCGTGTCGACAGAGAGAGTGCTGTTTGATGTATCCCGACTACGCCTGCTTAAACACTTTTTCGCAGAATCTAGCAGCGAGATGGCCTCGGTTAACAAGCTGTTTGCATCCGAACAGCACTGTTGACAAAGCCAAACACAACCCTTTTCACTGAACCTTTTGAAAGCCGAAGGCGGTAAATTCGTGCAAACTTCGTGGTACCAGCCTTTGCACTCATCGCACTGCATGCCGCTTTCAACGGGATAACGACAACCCAGACGTCGGTAACTGCTTTCTTCTCACTGTCCGGTCATCAGAAAGGATCCTTTTGGAAAAAAGAGCGAGATGAAATAATGCTCAAAGACAAAATGATCTATGACCAAAAAAGTAAGACATTTAGCAGAGGCAGACTTACAGTTACTTATACATCAAAGATCGTTGCTTATTGTTGTTTCCCACGGCCCTATGGAAATCACGTGTCCTAACCACCAATCAGAGTATCGACTTGCAGACTATCCTCACGACCGCAAGTCAATTTTTTTCGTATAAATGTCTGGACGTTTCAAAACTTTACAAGTACTCCTAGTCTTATGGTAGGTGGATCTATACTATTCAAAGCACGTACAGATAAACATACTTCCTACTTCAGAAGAACATATTTTGGCTGGGGATAGAGTGATATATTTAATGTGGAAAGGTATGGATTACACGAGAATGACCACACTCGCAAGGTTGAGACACGCCATGCCGTGTTCACCGTTACTGACCTTCCGTTAGTGCTGCACTTTGAAAGTGGATCTTCTCAGTAATTATATGTTCAGCTTCGAAGACCATGTGGTTAGGAACTAATACCACTAAAGACTAGGCAAGTTTCAGTCACAGCTACGATCAGTTGCTCTAATTTGTCCACCAATACTCTTACTTCATGGAATTTATTTTCTACACTACGATTATCTGTACATAAGACTCTTAAAGAGAATGGAGTATTCATTCAGGTCTTGATAGAATCCTCTCAGAAGATTTTAAGACTCGAAAGCCTACACGGCGGTGGCTTTCTTTACTACTCCGTCGACGATATTCCAGTTCAGCTATTGCCGCCTTTCATTTTGGTATGTTTTCAACAGAAATACCATGGATTTTTAAAAATCTGTGTTATCTTAACTCTGAGCACTAGTTACTGAAGAGAAAATAACTCGAGTTAATGTAGACCAAGTATAGTTTTTATGTTATGAATACATGAAAGCAAAGTTAATTCGCAACAAGTACGTTCTTTAAGACCTGCGTATATTGTGTACCTATAAAATAGGTTATATTCAGTCCCAAAAATAAAAGCAGGAGGACAGGTGATATATACCAACTCTCACCACTTAGACCATTGCAAAGACAGAATTTCTCTTTGAATGCAATGACAAAAACTGGTGATATCACATTTACTAGTGGGGAATTTCAGTGATCTGCTTCTCAAATATAGCGATGGGTAATCCACGGCTTTTGAGATTTTCGTTAATGTATTGTCATGTAGTCAATTCTATGTGGAAGAAAAAGATATAGTTGTAACAAAATTATTGTTCAGTATACGATAGGTGAAAGTTAGTTTTCGTTATTGTCCTCCGTGTAATAACATTAACAGGTTATTTATCGGTCTACTCTATTGTCGAATAAATCGATAAAAGGCTGACATTACCCCTAAGCGTCGAACATATATCTGGAAGCCTTACGCAAGTCTGGTTGATTCCTAGTTTTTAAAGTTAACTGATGTGCTCTTATAGTGTATTTTGATCTGACTGATATAAATAGGCAATCAGTCATATGTGCTGCACAACACAATGACGTTGCCTTGATCCACTGCATAATATCGTTGTGAGATTTAACTCGTCAGTCGTAATATGAGTCCACGTACTAATAAATCGACAAGTGGAGGCCCTTTAAACGTGTTTCAAGAGAGCTCGGTTGTTCTTCCGAAGGGAGCTTGAAATCTATTCATATTTATTTATTGTATGAACGTATTGTTCTCCGGCTTTAGGAAAGTAATTTTATTGTCCTTATTATTTTTTAGAAACCCTAGAAATTTCTTAGGACATTGAAGTAAAGAGTACACAGTAGTGAGCCTAATATTGTATTTTGTAGTACCCCTTGAGCTAACGTTTCCATGAGGTTTTTTAAATTTTAATTAGACTTCATACCACCGAGCTACTAGAGACTTTAGTTCACTCAAATAAATCTTGAATTTCCAACTGGGTGCAGAAACATGTATTTTTCTTTGCTTAGGTCAGTTAAAATTACATCATGTAACCTCTTCGTGTTTTGTGGCTCAGCTCTTCTCTGTTTTTGGAAATACGTTTGTAAAAGAGCATGATCATTAAAACTACTAGAACTTCTTCGATCTTTTCAA